TGGCCTTTGGCGCAGTATAAACTCCTGTACCTCTGACATTGTCCTGGATATAATATCCGTTGTTGGATTTTCTCCATAAAAGGACAGCCTGAACTGCACCTCTCTCCGGAACTCTTCTTTTTCATCTGCTGCACTCTGTTGCTCAGGGATTACCCTGTCCTCCTGCTGGTATTCAGCCATCACTTCTGCAATGAGGATTGCTTTCTTTTTGTTGCTGGCTGCAATGCCTTTCGCTTCCAGGAGATCTTTTAGCGTGGATCTTTTAAGCTTGGCATAATCACTCTCCATCCGTATTCCATTAGTCCTTGTTCCCTTGTGAGTCTGGATCCCAGCGCTGCCAACCAATGTAGCGGAGATGCAATATTCCCCAGGTTGTCTCCGCTTATAATCCAAGTGAGGCTCAGGAACAAGTAAATAATAAATCCATAGGCAAAGTTTCCAGCAGGTAAAATAACAGCAACCTCCCCACAGCAATCCCAATAACTGGACGACACACAGTTTCAGGAGCAGAACTGACAAGCCTTTAATCACAGTCTCCTTATAAAGCATGCTCCCATGCAAGGGAGGGATTACAGTAATTATTACAGTAGCCAATCCTGTCCTGGTAACCTCCCACACATCTCCTCCCCTCAGCCAGCATCATAATCCCCTTATCCAGTACACCAATTCCCCCCGTTTCTGGATGTACCCCTAAACGTAGGGGTACCTCTTTAAATCCTACATCCCCTGGTAGCCCTGATCTGGGTGAACAACATATCCAAAAACCACCCAGATCAGACCAGGGGTTCGGGAAAAGTATGGAGGGAATAAAATGACCGACCGCACGAACTGAGATAGCCGAATTCGGTTCCATGTGAATGGGCCCTGCGGTCGGTCCTGGCATAAGGGAATAAAATACACGAAAACCTCTAGCTATAGAGGCTAGGGAGGGTTCGCCTGAATCCCCTCGTTCGGTATTCTCTATCTACCGAACGAGGGGCCGTTCGGTAGTTTGGAACCGAACGGACCAGGGCTGTGGAGGTCTCAGCGGTGTTCGCCTACTCGAGTGTCCGATTTTAGTTCCAGACACTCGACGGCAAAACACCGCTGTTCGGGAGTTTTAAAATGGCCGCCGCCACGTGTTCGTTTGTCGAATGGCGGCCACCCCCGAGAACAAAGGACGGCTACTTACTGTTCAATTACCCGTTCGCAACAATGTTGCAACGGGTAATTGAGGACACACTTCACACAGGGGAGGTCTGGTTGTTCGGTAGTTTCATTCGAATAAACTAAGGGAACGAAACTACCGAACAATCACAAGAATACAAGGCTTTAGAACACATAGGAAACTAACAGATCACACGAATGCATTTCTTTCACAGACATTTGCAGGACAGCCCAGTGCCATCTGCTACACAGTATGTGATAGCTTCAATTGGAGTTGCCATTGATAGGGGGTGTCCTGTTTCGAAATGCCCTCTGTGTGTTTCCCAGACCTGTAGTGTCAATGCGAGTTGGGCGGGTGGGAGTGGGGTGGCCGGTCTGTCTTTTTTTGGTAACCACAGCAGATTGGGGATTTGGAAGGGTAAGATGGCTGCCTGCTCCATTGCCACCCATTGGGGTTGGGTGTCTTTGGTCAAGTGTGGCAAGAGGGAGGACAGTATTGCAGCTTGGTAATACAATTTGACATTGGGGAATGCCATTCCCCCTTGTGTTGTGGGGGCTAGGAGCACTTTTTGTGAGATTCGTGCCCGTCTCGTTCCCCAAGTGAATTGTAACAGTTTGGCCTGGATAGTATTGAAGTATGATGGCGATACTCGTAATGGTAGGTTCCTAAATAAGTATTGAAGTTTCGGTAGTATGGTCATTTTTAGTGCTACTATGCGCTCCGACCAGGTTAAAAATAACCGGTCCCAGCCCTTCATTGTTTTAAGACAGTCCTCCCAGACCCTGGTATAATTCGCTGGGAACATATCTGTGGCATTTTTAGTAAATGTCAGGCCTAGATATTTTATGTCTTTTTTCCTCCATTCAAATTGGTAGTCTTTGTGTAGGTTCGCCAAGACTTGTGGGTCCAGGCGTAGACCCAATGCTTGTGTTTTGGAGGTATTGAGAGAGTAATAGGACAGTGTCCCATATTCATGTATGAGTCGCATTATGTGTGGGAGAGAGCTCTCTGGGTGGGAGATGTACAGCAGGATATCATCTGCAAACGCCCCTATCTTTATTTGACGGCCATGCCAGTCCACCCCTGTTATTTCTGTTCTGGTTCTGATTCCTGTGAGCAGTGGTTCTAGGGCTAAAACGTAGAGTAGGGGGGACAAGGGGCACCCCTGTCGTGTGCCGTTGGTAATTTTAAAGGGGTTGGACAGAAACCCCGCTTGTAGTACCCTTGCAGTGGGGTGTGAATAGAGTGCAAATATCTGTGTGATGAGTTGGTGTGGAAAATCATACCTCTGCAACACCTTGTGGAGGAAGGGCCAGCCCAGGCGGTCAAACGCTTTTTCGGCATCTAGTGCTAAGAGCAGTCCGCCTGGGCCGGACCTCCTCATCTTCTCTAGCACGAGAGCCAGTTTCTGGGTATTGTCCAGGCCCTGTCTCCCCAACACAAATCCCTTTTGATCGTCGTGTATGAGTGTCGGTAATATTTTACCGAGTCTGGTCGCTAAGATCTTGGCGTAGATCTTAGCATCCGTATTTAACAGCGAAATGGGTCTGAAATTCTTACATTGGTCAGCAGGTTTTCCCGGTTTAGGTATGGTCACTATTGTTGCTAAGAGCATCTCAGGTGGGAGTACTCCTGTGTCCGTGGCTTTTTGGAACACTTGTACGAGTCTGGGACCCAGTATTTCCGCGAACGTTTTGTAATATATATTAGGAAGCCCGTCTGCACCCGGGGATTTCCCTATAGGGAGGTGTTGTATGGTGTGTAGAACCTCAGTAAGAGTGATGGGTTCAAGTAGTGCATTTCTTTGGTGTCTGTCTATCTTGGGCAGAGGAAGCTGGTCCAAGTACCTTTGGATAGCGTTTTCATCTATAGGGGTTGTGTCTGGGTGATCTCCCAAATTATATAAGTCAGAGTAATATTTTGCAAACTCCTGGGTGATATCTAAGGGGTTTTGTATTTTGGACCCATTTGGTCCTTGTAAGTAAGCTATTTTGGAGGCCGCCAATTTCTCCCTCAGCCTATTGGCTAAATGTTTTGTCGCTTTCCCGCTATGATGATATGTGGTGGCCTTCATTCTATGAAGCAGGGACGCAGTTTTGGCTGCCAGTAACTGATGTAGCTGGTTGTTCAGAGATTGGATTTGGTTTGCTAGAAGTGGGGAGGGGGATCGTTTGTTCTGGGTGGTAAGGGCCGCTAGTTTCGTTTGGTGCTCAAGTATTGTGGTTTGTCTTTGTTTTTTGAGGTAGGACGAGCGTCTGATAAATAGGCCTCGTACTACAGCTTTGTGAGCCATCCACACAGTCTGTACTGACATTTCCTCAGTAGAGTTTGTGTGAAAGTAGGCAATGAGTTCAGCTTTTATTTGGTTCATAAAGTCGTGGTCTCGGAGTAAGGAATCGTTCATTCTCCAAGTCCCCCGTCCTTTAAACTGAAAGGAGTCATGTAACCCCAAGTACACTGGGCTATGGTCTGACCAAGTGATATCTCCTATAGAGCATGTAGAGATTTGTGCTAATGTGGGTTGGTCTACGTAGAATGTGTCTATACGGGTATACGTGTTGTGTGCCGCCGAGTGAAAGGAGTAGTCTCTTTCCCCTGGGTGCAGCATTCTCCAACTATCATATAGATTGTGTAGTGAGAGCAGTTTGGACACTGCCTTGCACGTGGAGTTTACGGTCGCCCGTCGTGTCCCCTGGGGTATGGCAGTCGTGTCGACTTCTGGGGAGGTAAAGAAGTTGAAGTCCCCACAGAGCACCAGTCCACCTTGTCTATATTTGTCTATGTCTTGCAGAAGACGTCTAAGGTATTTTTCTGTCCCAGTATTTGGGAAGTAGGCAGATACCAAGGTATATTGGGTATTATTAAAAAGCCCTACTAGTAGGACATATCTCCCTTGGGCATCTACTAATTTTGTCTGCTCCTGGAATGCTACGTCTTTATGTATAAGGATGGAGGCCCCTTTCGTTTTACTGTCTGAGAGGGCATGGTATTGATTTGGGTATAGTTTAGTGAAGATTTCTGGGGTCTTGGCCTTTTTAAAATGTGTCTCCTGGATACAGGCTATGTCTATCCCTTGTTCTTTTAGCTCTTGAAGTAGTAGTCTTCGTTTACCTGGGGTGTTCAGCCCCTTGACGTTATAAGTTAGTAGTTTCATGCAGGAGTGTCAGGTGAAAATAGCGTGCTTAGGTGGGTCGGGTTCTGTCCATCTGCGCTTATAATCGGTACTGCAATTGCCCTGAGTGGGGGTTGTGCATGGCGTGCGTCGCTGTGCAATCTGAGAATGTGACCAGTCGGGGAGTGAGGGAAGTAAGTATGGGGTAAAACTGGGGTGAAGAGAATAATTGGGTAAGATACCCATTTCGGCTCCAAGGAGTGGGGCCTTGCCCTGCTGCCTAGCATGGAGGCGCGGCAGTCGGGGGGGTGGAGGTGAAGTTGGCAGTTCTCTAGGTCGTGCACCATAGAAAAAGCCAAGAAAAACCGTGAGCAGTATTAACATGCAACTATGGTAGCGAACAATGTGTGCAACCCGTTTCTAACGTTCTATTCTTTACCGTTTGGTTACGTGTTCTCAATACTAGCATATTGTATAGGATATAGATCTCAGTACTTTTCAGCCCCCGGTAGGGGGTGTCTTAGTACCTCTAATCGGGCAGAGACAGAATCTAGCCAGCAATAATGCTTTCTGTTATGCCTTGCACATGTACTCCGGTAAATATCAACTATCAGTACATAGAATATAGAGGGGTGTCACCCAATTTGTTTTCCCAGGAACAACTCTAACGGGGTTATGCATCTATCTATTAACTGTTATATACATCACATAGTTACGTATGCCGGTAGGAATGTCCAGTTCTCATTGTGTTGTCCACTCCGGGGACATCCTCGGGACTTTAGCTGCTTTGGTGGGGTGTAGGTTCTGGATCGGGAGTCCCCATTCTTTCAGCTGCTGGATACCTTGCGCCACTGTGTTGACGGGGTGTATTGCGTCTTGGTAAGAAATTAAAAGTTTGGCCGGGTAGCCCCAGCGGTAGTTTACGTTGTGGTCCCGCAGGGCGGAGGTGACCGGTCCCATGGTTTTCCTGAAGTGTAGCGTGTCTGCTGAGAGATCCGCAAAGATCTTGATTGACGAGTAGGCTTCTGGCATATCCGCCTTTCTGCTGGCCTTCATTATCCTCTCTTTGGCGTGGAAGAAATGAATCCTCGCAATCACGTCACGTGCGGCTGTCGTGGGCAGGTGCTTTGGTCTGCGCAGCCTGTGTGCTCTGTCTATGATGAGTTGATCTGGGTGGGTTTCTGGTGTGAGGCACTGGAACATGTCTAATAAATAGTTATGCAGTTCTGCATTTGGTACAGATTCCGGGATCCCCCGGAATCTGAGGTTGTTCCTCCGAGCCCTATCCTCCATGTCTGCTAGTTTCAATCTGTGGGCTTCTAGAGAGTCATCCAGTTCCTGCAGTTTGTCTGCCAGGCTGTTGTGTGCTACTGCATACTCATCCATCTTTGTTTCTATCTGGGAGGTGCGGTTGCCAATGTCCTGGATGTCCTTGTGTAATTCAGCTGTCAGTGTTTGGAGCTGTTTCTTAATATTCAGCTGTATGTTGTCTGAGAACTCAGCCATCATTTCTCTGATGGCTCTCATTGTCAGGGGCTGTTCATTTTCTGCTTGTGCAGGTGGTGTTTGAGGTGAGGGGGGGTGTTCCCGCCTGTTTTGGCCGCCGCCATCTTGCTCCTCACTCTGCTTGGAGGCCGCGGTCTTTGTGAGGAAGAATGAGGCTCGGTCCGACTTCCCTGCTTTCGTTTTTTGCCGCTGCGACATCGCGGGAGGTTGCTCAGTGTAATCCGGTTGGTGATCGCTCGGTATTCCGTTTATTTGTAGCTCTATACGGTTTTCTCGCCGGGAGCTGCTCCTACATGCGTCTGTTCAGCTCCGGCGGTAAGCCACCGACTGCTCTTTGTTTGTTTTTTTAATTATACGTTTTAGTATACCCCACGTGCTTTTGCTTTTTTGAGTTTATTTTAAAAATTACCATATTGTGATCACTATTTCCCAAATGCTCCCCTTCTTGAATGTTGGTCACATCACTCGATTAGCTTGAGACAGTATAGATTGTCGTATGCTTAGCTGTGTATTACTTAGCCTGTTTGAATCTTGCTTTACAACAAAAAAGTCTGTACATTTTTTTTTTTGTTTCCCTGGATAATAAATTTTTTTTTTTTTTTTTATGATGTTGGATTTTAGTATTAATGAATCTTCATACTGTCAGGCGTATGGTAATTCATTAAAGGAATAACATAATTTGCAATAAAAAAAATAAATAAAATATAGCAGCATGACAAAATGTAAATAGATGTAAAATCAAAAAACTAACGCAAATGTCCTTTTTAAAAAGAAACCACAACTATGATTGCATTTCCAAAGCACACTCAGAATGCGCCACAAAACGTGTTCTTGTAATATTATAACGCACTCAAATCATGGTCTCGTGGCTTGTCTCCAGAACCCATCAACTGCGTTATTTTAACACACAATTTTCAATGATGTATCCTATTATCTGAATTATATGCTCTTACTTCTTGTAGTAAATATTAAGGTATTTCTATTATTATATTGTTCTGCTGCACAAGTCAATAAGGAAGTCCCAGCAGGCACTTCGGGTGTTCTGAGTTAATAAAACATAGGCTCCTGTGAATATATGTTGTATATTTAAAAAAAAAAAAAAGCAATATAAAATGTATTTGTTTTAATTTGAAGTTATTGATATTGCACATATTCAGTTAGAACAAACATCTTCATTAAGAAGTGTTAACTGGTACATGACAGCAAAATAACATGTAATTATCCCGGAATTCACTGGCCAGCTTCCAGCGTCGATTTTACCTCCCAATACAGTGAAATGGCTGATATTGGAAAGCAGAATACTTTGAAAGAAATTATTTTCTTTATCCTGATTACTTTTCATATACAGTATCTGAGATGTGGCCCAATGCAGCCGATGTTTTTGCTTTCAAGGTTCTGATAAGGTCAGGGCTGGTGCAAAGATTTTTGCTGCCCTGGGCAAAAAAACACTTGCCGCCCCATTCGTTCCACCCACTCATGCAGCCTTATCTAAACTGACCAATACACACACGCTGACCACACACACACACACACACTGACTCATAAAGACACATACACTGACCCATACACACAAACAGACCCATACATACACGCACACTGACCCATGCGGACACATGCTGACCGATACATACATTCACACACAGACCCATACATCCCCACACACACACAGACAGACCCATATATACACACACAGACCCATACAGCCACACACACAGACCCATGTGCAGACTGACCTACACAAACATATTGACTGGCACACATTCTCTGAAACACACACTGAAAGTTCTCTCTTTCAGCATTGCACTTTGCTCTTCGTTCCTGTCTTCTTTACTGGGCCCGGCGGCCGACACTTTTTTCCCAGCACCATTTCTTGTTATTCTCCCACCCACTTGTCCCCACGTACAGGGCAAGGGGCAGGAGCAAGTGAATGATGCACACTTGCGCTGCCGCGGTGTTTGGCTGGGAGAGGGGGTCCTGACTTTGCAGGCTGTGGTGAATGCCGGACCGGCATTCTACCGAGGAGCTAGTCTACAAGTAAGTGCTACCTAGCGCCCGGTAACGCAGCCGGCACTATATAATCAATTCAACTTGATAGGGGGCGCGGGCACACAAACAGTAAAGCCACTGCCGGTGACCCTCTTTAAGTAGCGCCCTAGGGGGCCGCCTCCTTAGCCTATAGGACGTGCCGGCCCTGGTTAAGGTTTAGACTGAATGTCTGGGGCATTGCCCAGCTTGGCGATTTCTTACTGTGTGCAGGAGATTGTAATGCCAATAGTGTTCAGGATGGTGCACAGTGCAAAGCATAATAATATAATCTATCTATTCTACAAAGGGATATAAAGTGAATAATGTAAGGTAGTGAGGTTATTCTAAAAGGAGCCAGTTGGGATTTTCTAATTTCAATTTGCAGGTTTATTCACTAAAGTGAGAATTCAAAGTGATTTTCAACTTTAATGTCAACCTAGCCGAAGTGGGAAAATTCTTGAAGTCATCTGTGCTTTCAGTTTGGCTTCTCTGTTATTACATTTTAAATTCACTCTGAATTCTTACCTTAGTGAATAATCATGTAGATGTGCCATTTAAACCCATTGAATTGAGAATTTAACAAATACCAGTATTTACATGGATGTTTCAGTCTTAGAATTGATTTAGGCAAAAATGACACACTGGCAAACTCAATAAATACTAAAAGCTATGTCATGTTTTTGCGTTATAATATTGGTCTTCTAAATGTCTGTATGTTTTAACATAGAAACATAGAATGTGACGGCAGATGAGAACCATTCGGCCCATCCATTCTGCCCAATTTTCTAAATACTTCCATTAGTCCCTAGCCTTATCATATAGTTAGGATAGCCTTATGCCTATCCCACGCATGCTTAAACTCCTTTACTGTGTTAACCTCTACCACTTCAGCTGGAAGGCTATATAGAAACGTTTTGAGTGAGGATTGTGTTCTCTCTGTTTTTGAGTTTGTTTGTTGTGTTCATGAATAAAGGGACTATGTGAAATCATAGATATATTTTGTAATGTGTAAAGAACATCTGGATTGGTTGCAGATATACTCACATATACGATATACAAAGTAATTGTACCTACAGTCAGGCCCGGACTGGCCATTGGGCATACCGGGCAAATGCCCGGTGGGCCGCGATGGCCGTGGGGCCGAGGCCGGCAGGGGATCTCCCCGGCCGGCCCTGCAGGGCCAGCGCTATCCGAGCGCCGGCCCTGCTGTGTGCCTCCCTGGGCCGGTGGGGAGATCAAAGATCTCCCTCACCGGCCCAGAGACAGGGAGATGCGGCCGTCGGCTGGGTGAAGGAGGGAGGAGAGAGGACCTGGCGGAGCTCTAACAAGCAGCTCCGCCGGGTCCTCTCGCGGGATTCTGAGCATTGCCGCGGCAACGCTCAGATCTCACGAGAGTGAACTCTAACCTGCAGGTTAGAGTTCACTCTCACCACTGGACCACCAGGGAAGGATGGCAGAACGGCTCCCCTCCTCATGGCAGAACGGCTCCCCCCCTCCCCTCCCAGGATAAAGGTAAGAAGGGAGGGGGGGAGAATATTTTTTTTTTTTTATTAGTAAAAAAAATATTTAAATTTAAATAAAAAAATACATTCACTCACACACACAGCCCCCAGACACAGCACCCCCAGACACAGCCCCCAGACACAGCACCCCCCCAGACACACACAGCACCCCCAGACACAACACAGCCCCCCAGACACAGCCCCCAGACACAGCCCCCAGACACAGCACCCCCAGACAGACACAGCACCCCCAGACACACACCCCCAGACACAGCCCCAGACACACAGCACCCCCAGACACACACAGCACCCCTGAGACACAGCCCCCAGACACAGCACACCCCCAGACACACACAGCACCCCCAGACACAGCACCCCCAGACACAGCCCCCAGACATATAGCACCCCCAGACACACACAGCACCCCCCAGACACACACAGCACCCCAGACACACACTGCACCCAGACACACACAGCACCCAGACACACACTGCACCAGACACACACTGCACCCAGACACACACCCAGACACACACAGCACCCACAGACACACACAGCACCCACAGACACACACACAGCACCCAGACACACACACAGCACCCCCAGACACACACAGCACCCAGACACACACAAGCACACAGACACACACAGCACCCACAGACACACACTGCACCCACAGACACACACTGCAACCCACAGACACACACGCACCCAGACACACACAGCACCCCAGACACACACAGCACCCCAGACACACACAGCACCCCAGACACACACAGCACCCAGACACACACAGCACCCAGACACACACAACCCACAGACACACACAGCACCAGACACACACACACCCACAGACACACACAGCACCCACACACCACACAGACCCACAGACACACAGCACCCCACAGACACACAGCGCACCCACAG